GAGGCGCTCACCACGCAGCCCGCCTGCTCGGCCGCCCTCATGGCAGACCCCCACTGCTTTCCCATGGCCTGTAGGCCCGACACTCGGGGGCTTATCCGAGAAATCGCAAGCAAGCAAGCGAGCAACAACCCCTACCCGGTCCGGCTGAACCGGCCTAGCGCCACCCACACCTGGAAGCGAGAGGCGCAAGCTCTCACTCAGGTCTTCCTCATCGAGCCCGATTGGCTAAGCCCCAACTGACCCGACCCGATTGGCTGGGCTTGTGCCGAGCTCTGATTGGCTGCCTATTCTGATTCTCCTTTCCCCGCCCTCGTTGGTTCGTCCAACCTGTGGGACAGAGCCTCTGCCCCATTACCCCGGATGAGCCCCGGGGAGAGTAAGAGGCGTGCGGCGTCACAGGGAATCCGAGGAGAGGAGGATGGGTTCCTTCAAGTCTAGTCGCTTGTTTGCTGGACTGTGGAAAAGGGAATAGAAATGAGCGCTGACGTGGCTAGATTTGCCCAGGCCGTGACAGTACCTGTTAGCATCTGCCCAGGTCTAGGCGACCTTCGGCCTCTGACCCCTGGGATAATATGGATCAAGGAAATCCTTGGCCAATTCAGTATTTTGAAAATTTAAAAGTAAACCCTATAGCAATCCACTAGGGGGCATGGAACTCTCAAGATTACTCCTAGGATTTTTTTGGCTGCCAAAGCCCAAACACAAATCTCCGAGAAACTGAATTTGCTGTAAATTAAATTGCCCTTTAAATCGACTATGATGAACAGTAGCTGAAATCAAAAATTTTAATCATACAGCCCTATATTTTGCAGTGTGCACATTTCACATAACATAACCACCGGCCAGGATTTATCTAGGCCAGGGTCCAAATACTTTCTGTAGAAGGCCAGAATGGAAACAGTTCCAGTTTGGGGGACCATACAATCTGTCTCAAATAGTCAATTCTGCAGCTGTTGCATACAAAAGCTAAAGGAATGGCGGTGGCGGTGTCCCAATAAAAAGTTACAGACGTTGAAATGTGAATTTCATATAATTTTTTTGTGTCCAAAAATGGCATTCTTTAAATATTTTTTCCAACCATTTAAATGTGTAAAAACCTTTCTTAGCTCACAGGCCATACAAACACAAGCAGCAGGCCCGAATTGACCCACAAGGGATAGTTTACCATCTCTAGTGTACGCTAACATAAAACTTCTCTACTTTTCCAAAGAAGTACCCTTTAGGTCAGAGGAGGATGAAGGAATATGTCAAGGGTTGGGAGCTTCACGATACCCTCAATCAGTCACCACAAGCTAGACAGTTTACAAAGGTCTGCTTTATCATTGAATTGATAAAATACACAATAATTTTTATTAAGGTTACCATAGTATACTACCAACATTTGTGAAAAAATATTCAATTGCTATTTAAATTCTCTAACCTTTCTGCCTGAATTCTTTTTTTGTTTTTGTTTTTGTTTTTTGAGATGGAGTCTCACTCTGTCGCCCAGGATGATCTCGGCTCACTGCAATTCTGCCTCCTGGGCTCAAGTGATCCTCCCACTTCAGCCTCCCGAGTAGCTGGGACTACAGGCGCACGCCACCATGCCCAGCTAATTTTTTGTATTTTCAGTAGAGATGAGGTCTCACCATGCTGGCCAGGCTGGTCTCGAACTCCTGACATCGTGATCCTTCCGCCTCAGCCTCCCAAAGTGCTGAGATTACAGGCGTGAGCCACCGCACCCGGCCTCTGCCTGAATTCTTTAAATAAAGTTAACACTGTTTGGTATAACACCAGCACAACACAGGATGATGCTCCCAGTACTCCCAGTAACACAAACCTGCTAGAGAAAGGAAAACGATTATCTATGATAGTATGAGGCAGGACTAAAATGAGGCCGTCTTGCCATAGCAGGCAGTCTTCCTTTGGTTCTATGACACAGAAGGTGGCTTGATCAGAGCAAAATTTATCCCAACTTCCTAGCAATTAAAAGAGTTTTTCTCTTGGTGGAGCACAGGGGCTCACACTTGGAATCCCAGCACATTGGGAGGTTAAGGCAGGAGAATTTCCTGAGCCCAGGAGTTTGAGACCAGCCTGGACAACATGGTGAGACCTTAACTCTACAAAAATTTTAAAAATTAGCCAAGCACAGGGGTGCACCCCTGTGGTCCCAAGCTACTTGGGAGGCTGAGATGGGAGGATCACTTGAGCCCAGGAGGTCGAGGCTGCAGTGACCTATGTTCATACTAATCCACTCCAGCCTGGGTGACAGAGCGAGACCAACTCAAAAAACAAACTAACTTTCTCTCTGGAGTCCAGTGATTCTCCCTCAATGCTCAAGACTCCAGCATGAACTGTTGTGCGCTGGGTTTTTCTGTGTTTACAGCAGACCATGGTAAAAAGAAGTCCCAAGTCACAGCCAGAACAGCCAAAGTAAAGATCTTTGAGTGCTAGGCTCACTGACTGAGACTTTAATCTTATGTTCCACTTTGCCTCAAACAAAACCAACTCATTTGCCCATACAACCCATGGCATCCTTTCATAGTAACAAGGACAACAGGACACCTCCAATACTTTTTTTTTTTTGAGACGGAGTCTCACTTTGTCACCCAGGCTGGAGTGCAGTGGCGCGATCTCGGCTCACTGCAACCTCCGCCTCCCCAGTTCAAGCGATTCTCCTGCCTCAGCCTCCTGAGTAGCTGGGATTAAAGGTGCATCCGACCATGCCTGGCTAATTTTTGTATTTTAGTAGAGATGGAGCTTCGCCATGTTGGTCAGGCTGGTCTTGAACTCCTGACCTCATGATCCGCCTGCCTCAGCCTCCCAAAGCGCTAGGATTACAGACACGAGCCACCACGCCCGGCAACATCTCCAATACTTTAATACTTGGTTGAAAAGAACCCATTGCCCTGTTTCCCACTGTTTGTCCCAGTACTTTAGTTTTATGATCTCATTTGGGTTTTTCTAAAAGCAAGGCTTCCTACAAGCCTAGTAAAGGAAATTCTTTCCCATTGTGCCAAATGTAGCATTTAATTGATTTTTTTTTTTTTTAGAGAGTCTTGCTGTGTTACCCAGGCAGGAGTACAGTGGCGTGCACTCAACCTCCACCTTCTGGTTCAAGCAATTCTCCCGCCTCAGCCTCCGGAGTAGCTGGGAGCTACTCCGTGTACCACAATGCCCAGCTAATTTTTTGTATTTTAGTAAAGATGAGGTTTCACCCCTGTTCCCCAGGCTGGTCTCAAACTCCTGAGCTCAGACAATCCACCCACCTCAGCCTCCCAAAGTGCTAAGATTACAGCGTGAGCCACCACACCCGGCCAATTCTGTGTAAAATGAGTGAAACACAGCTAAAACTAGAACTAGTCATTGCTGGCATGTTAATATGAGATTTTGCTCAAACATCTGCCATCCCCATCCTGTTACAGAGATGACCAACAACCCTGGGTCCACAACATGTTCCAAATCTCTCAAATAGTACTAAATCTATTACCTCTAGCACCCCACCCTTTTTCCCCCTCCTGGTGGCAAAATTCAAGTATCTCACACGCACCCTAAATGTCTCTTCCTCTATGTAGGGAACTTTTGGTTCCCTCCCCAAACAAATGGCATTGTTCAAACTCAGAGCTCAGAACCAATGCAAAAGAAAAGAAAAGAAAGAAAGGAAATAGCAGATTTGTTTTAACTTTTTATTAAAATGCTTAGGATACAGATTGACTTTCTTTTGTAAATGACTGTTTTACTTTTCCTGAAATAGGACATATATGCACTCTGATAAAACAGAATGAGAAGTCATAATTCATGGGAATTCCTGTACAAGGTGCTGATCCTGTGTTTGGAGCTGAGCTCCTCACAGCAGCTTCTTTCAGCTATCTTATAGGAATAGTGTTCCGTGGGGCAAGAAATACATTGGTTCTGATTTTCCATCCCCTTTCTCCAGTGGAATAACCCACTTTCACAAAGAGCTGCCCTATGTAGAACCCACAGATTTCTAACTTGCAACAAAGAGACACAGGACAAATAGGAAAAAAAAAAATTTAAGAAAACTAACACTGAAGTAATCATACTTCTCCGAATAGAGAAGTATGGGGAATCTTTAACCAAAGGAAATTAAAAATATGCAAGTTAATTACCTAGTTCATTCACTGTTAGCTAGATTTGTTCACTTAAGGCTTTAACCCCTTTCCAAACCAACAATTTTGTCTTAATCCAGCTATGCTTGCTATTAAACGAAATGCATGCACTTCCCACATATATACTTGGCTGAGCCTCTGCATTCAGTACCTGGCAGTGAAAAAGTATGCTCCAGTCAGTACTGGAGAATAAGAATGAGAACTCCAACTAAAGAACGATGCCTCTCTCACCACAGTAATGTTATCCACATTTCTCTACCCTCACATTAGAATAAAGACATCCTCCCAACTTTTCATCTCCTATCTCCAATCTGTTCCTAGGAGATCTATCTTTTGATCTTTTAGCATAAGGGTAGAATATAGGTTAAGATCATCAAAATCCAATTTCACATGTGGCACTAGGAAAATGGAATGCTATAAAATTAATCCCCATCACCCTAGTAGGGATGCTGGTGCTTTTATACTGAGTCTTTACTGCCAATAAATGATGCTGCCTCCAAAGGAACAGCTCTACAGAAAGTTTTTGGATTAGTGTTTCCCCAGCTTATTTCTGCAATGGAGAAAGACAAATTCATACAGAAAAAAAAAAACCTGGAAAAGCTACAGATGTTAACCTTTACTTTAAACACTAATAAAATAGGTACCAAAGGAGAAAAAATGTATGAAAAAGAGCTCAGAAACAGCCTGAGAGACCAAATTCTGAAAATGGAAATTTTAAAGCCCACTGAGTACATTTTTCCTGGATCCAAACAAGTGCTACAATACTTTCAAGTCCTCAACTCACAGAATTAAGAGCCCTTAAGCTGTTAACTTTGTCCTGTCTTCCTATTCAGAAAAACGTCCCCCTAGAATCTGTGCAAAAGTAACTGATGCACCTGCAGTATGTGACATGAGAGATGTTCTCAACACTTTTATGAGGTGAAAGTCACTTTTTATAACTGAAAATGAAGAACAAAGGTGCTATAGAGAGAAATTAAATTTCACAAGTATAAAAGCAAAGACTGGCTGAAATCTGTAACTTCATGAGTAAGAATAATAACAATAACCCATTCTATAATTAACTCCTCCACAGTGAACAATCTGCTACACATTCCTTGATGAGGAACGACCCTAGCTTACCACAGTGGAAACCTGCCAAAACTTCAAGGCCAGGGTTCCGCCCCTTTTCTAGTTCTCCGTGCACAAGGTTATGCCACCTACTCCAAGGCAGTCAGAGAGACAGGTGAGCTCAGGGGAGCTTCTC